AGTTAAAAACTACCTATGTGTGGTGGTGTGTGCCTGTAATCCTAGCTACTCAGGAGGCTAAGGTGGAAGGGTCACTTGAATGTACAGGCTACAGTGAGCCGTGATTGTACCAGTGCACTTCAGCCTGAGTGACAGAGCAAGAGTCATTCTCTTAAAGCTAAAAAAAAAAAAAAATCATTATCCTGCCAGCAAAGTGCCCAGCCTCAACTCACTCAGAGCCTAAGAACTATGCTTTCCACCACTTAGTTTGCATGTCACAGTCAGGGTCCAGGGACATGGTTCCCCGCTTCACACACTCCCACCCCCAGCTCCCTGCACCACTTCTAAGTGCAATTGATCTGAAAGCAGTCAGAGCTGGGCTCCACACCTTTGCTCAGATACAATGCATCCATGTGGAAGTCCTCTCCCCTCTCAGACCCCACAGGTCGTCCTGTCTGTTTGGTACACAGCCCAGCCCCCTGGACTGACAGAGCATCAGGACATGTCTATCTCCCCACCAGCCTGTGCAGTCCCCAAGGGTAGGACCACAGCTGACCTCCCATCCTCCCAGAGAGGCCCAGGACAAGGACCGGCACATAAAGTGTGGGAAATCAGCTTGATTCTCCCCAGGAGAGATATAGAAATGTCTGGAGACATGTTTGATTGTCACAGTTGGGGAGGCCCCACTGGCATCTAGTGGGGTGGAAGCTGGGGATATTCCCAAATATCCTACAACGCACAGCATAGGCTCCCACGAGTGCCCCGAGCTGGAGAAATGATGCCAGCTTCATCTGTTAAGGTCCACACAGGCCTCACTCTCATCTGAATGTTGTTTCTTAGGGAAAATAAACCCCACCTCGAGCAGGCTCAGAGCATGTGAAAAGCCAAGTACTTGATGCTGCTTCTAGTAGCAAAATCTCCAGTGTAAGAGAAAGCCTAGAGATCTACAGCAATTTTTAAAAGTGAAAGCTCATTATCCTAAGTGAATTAACACAGGAACAGAAAACCAAATACAGCATGTTCTCACCTATAAGTGGGAGCTAAAGAATGGGTACACACTAATATAAAGATGGCAACAATGGATACTGGGGGACACTAGAGGAGGGAGAAAGGCAGGGGCAGAAGGGCTGAAAAACTAACTATCGGGTACCATGCTCACTACCTGGGTGACAGAATGCATTGTACCCCGAATCTCAGCATCACACAATGTACCCATAAAACAACCCTGCACATGTACCCCCTGAGGCTAAAATAAAAGTTGAAAATTATTTTTTAAAAAGCAAAAGCTGAGAGGAGACTCTCAGGGAGCCAACAGAATTAGCCACACCAGTCCTTAACCCCAGGCACAGTCAACAGGAGTCCACTGATAGCATCAACTAGAGGGGGAGGCCCCCAAGCCCACCCCAGACACTGCCAGGTGGGCCAGATGGCTTTTTGCACAGCCCATCTTCCTGAGGGGCTTCCATCCATGTTTGCCTTCTTTCACAAAAAAAAAGAAAAAAGAAAAAACAGGAAGGGGAGGATTTCAGAAAACTGGCCTGTGTTCCCAATGTCTGTATTCTGTGGATGCATGTTCTCTTACACTTCCAGAGTTCTTCGTTTATTTCCACGCCAACCCCTCCAACACACATGTATAATACAAACTCGCCAATCTACCTCAGACAGTACAATATGGATGAAAAGGAAATCATCTCAGAACAACTACTTCTAGCAGGCAGCACTCTTCCCCAGCACACCATACACACACACACACACACACACACACACACACACACACCCCATCATCACCACAAACTAGAGGGCCGCTCCCTGACTTAGTGCATTCTGACTCCACACATTATCTACTCTCTCTTCTAAAGACATTCAATGCCACCAAGGGGAACATCACAACAGACTGAAGGGTCTAGACCTGAACAACCAACCCCTCTCCTTAGCAAAAAGGCGTCCCTTTCAACAACTCCCGAGCAGGGACCACATGAAGCACACAGGTGAGCCCAGCCAGGCAGACAGAGACCTCCCTCCCCCTCTTCCCCACTGACCCTGCTTCCTGCTTCCTTCCCTCCAACTCCTCCGCAGCCTCAGCCAGACCTTGCCCTGGCAAATTCCAGAGGGGGTACCAGTGTGCAGAGCAGGTGTGAGTTCACAGAAGAAGCCCCTCCACTCACAAGGCCCCACTAGTAGCAATGTGAGTGAGTTTGTGCCTTGCTTTTAGACTCAAAAATTCAGCCTTCACAGCCTGAGAGATACTGTCAGGGCACCTGACCACCCCCGTCCTTCCAGCCCAAATCTAAGGCTTCTAGGGCTGAGTACTGGCCTGCCCTAGGTCCTGGCAGACATGCCATGGAAGAGACTTTTCTTCCTCATATGGACAAATGTTTACCTGCAGAAAACTTGCTTCTGTCTTTAAATTTGCATCAAGTCTCACTTTAAATAATGTTGAGAACAAAATGCAAGCTGATATTTCAGCTTACTTAAAAGGCTTATCAAAAACACTAAATCCAAAGGCGTTAAAAAGCTATAATTGTCCTCATTCGGCCTGGAAAAATAAATCTATTTGCTTTCTTCTTTTATAATACTCTTTTTATTACAAAAAAAAGTTCATCTATATTCTCATAAGTATCATTGCTGTCTTTCTTCCCCCTCCATTCAAGGCACTTTAAAAAACACCTGTGCCATTCACATCCAACTTTTGAGCAAAAGGCAACCACATTTGGGGAAGGCTGTTTAACTCTGATTTCTTGATGCCAGAGATAAGCCTGTCTTACTCAAAAGTAAGATGGAGTTCAGAGTTCACTTGAATGGGCTCATAGAGCTGATGGAAATTTCTTGGATTACCTAAGGCAAAGCAAACAACCTAATCATTCAGCTTCTGGGGTTCAGTGGGCAAGGATTCCACATCTCAGCACTGCCTTCAGTACCCTATGGGCAGCTATGGGAAGTCGAGCTTACCTCCTAGCTGCCTTTCTGTCCTCTCCCATCATGGGGGTTATTGGCCTCTGACTTGGACCAGAACAGCGTGACTGTCGCTCCCTCCCTGCCCCAAGTCTTCCGTGAAGACAGCCCGGCCAGCAGTTAAGTTGCTGAGTTGCGAAGATCTTCAGCCTACTCCGAAGTTAACCACTGCAGGCACTGAACAAGATGGGTTTTCAGAGCACAAGTCCAAGAGAACGCAAATTCTTTGAAAGCATTTTCTCCAGGTTCTCCATAATTACCATGTATGTCCCCAGGAACTGTTTCCCTAAACCCAGTTTAGGGTGAAAGCATTTTAGAAACTTCCCTTACAGATGACATATGAGGTACTAACCTTTTTTCATATGCCCAGATGTTAAGCTCATTTTCATCATGTTTATGCAAATTTCATTTGAACACTAAATCAAAAGAAATCTTAAATCATTGTATACTATTTAAAAATCAACACTAAATCCCGTTGACTTGCAGCGATATTAACATAAAGTCACAATTAAGGGACTGAAGGTAGGAGGCAAATCTATGCAATGGTCTCGGAGTCCTGGCCAGTCCTCACATCCAAACATCTCTGCCTGGTCACAATCACATTTAAGTTTGACCAGATTAAGGAGGGTCTTCTGGAAATGAAGGTCTTAAAAGTTTTGTAAACTTTGGGAAAATGGGTCCCTCGGCTGGAGGGCCTGTCATCTATGTCATTGTCCGGGACTGAGGCAGAGAAAGTCCACAGGCAGAGGCCCAGAGCTGAAACTTCTGGCAGCCGGGGTTTCTCCTCAGTGGGGGGAAAAGTTAATTCCTAGGGCTCAGAGGTTCTGCATTTGTCAGGGAGCAGGAAGTCAGTGCTATCATTACCAAGCAAATCAGCCAGGCGGTTAATGGTGGAATCAGGAGACATTTGCACTCGCTATCAGAATGACATCATAACTAAAGCAGCCTTCAGCCAGAAGCCCTGGGCTCTCCCTGAGCAGAGGCCAGAGGGCTGCCAGGGCGACCCCCTGCAACTCCCTGGACTGAAAGCTGAGCCCCCCATCTGCTTCCAGGCTGGGTGGTGGGTGCAGCCCCCCGCAAGTTCCCAGGCTGGCTGGGCAAACAGGAACTAGGGTTTTAGTCTTCTCCCAAGCAAATCGACTTTTTCCCTAGGTTCTGAATGCTGTACATAATCATTATAATAACATATTTTTAATAAAATTTGAGATCGACTTTCCTTATCAGGCAAGTATTGGTATTTTATAAATACAGCTACATTTTTGCTATAGGATTGATGGCATTTCCAACAGAATTGTCAATCTCTTGATGACCCTGTCCTTAGCAAAGAAGCTCTGCACTCTCTCCTTCAAGCAAAAGAAATAAACGATGCTGGGGGAAGGGGGACGAGCTAAGAAAAAAGCCCTTCCTGCTCTTGTTTTAGTTGCTTTTCTTTCTGTTTAAAATCACAGCACAAACACACACATACACACACGCACACACAGACACAAACCTTAGAATAATGGGGGAGGCATTTGGCTACAGGCTTGCATCCACCGCGCGGCGCGACCAGAAGCCGGCCCGCTCGCTCGCTCGCAGCTCTGCCCTCCGAGGCGACAACAGGGACCGAGTGCCCGCCCCCGACCCGGGCGAGATGCCCAACTGCAACCGCGCGTCCCCCCAAGATCACCTCTCGAGTCTCGCCACAGGTACACACGTGGCCCAAACACTTCACCTGGCCCGAAAAGTCGGGAGACGGGAGGGAAAAAAAAAAAAGTTGTGCGAGCAGCCAGCCTGGCAGCCCCGGAGCCCGCGGATGCAGTCCTCCCGCCGCCCAGCCGCCCGCACGCGAGGCCGGCCCGCAGCTGCGCACGGCTCCCAGCACCTCGCTCCCGGCTTTGCGCGCTCACCCCGGGGCGCGCCGAGGCCACCGCAGGGCACTTACTTGGCACTTGCTTTTGAGTGTGCAGACCGTCGTGATTTTCACTTGGGTTTTCAAACAAGTTTCAGGGAGAAAGAAGGTGGTTAAAAAAAAAAAAAAATCCAATTATGCAAATGGACTCCGGACTGGGAGGCGCGCGTTGGATCTGACGCCGCTACTGTACGAGTTCTCAGGGCAGCCACCGGCCGGGCAGATTTATGGGGGCGCGTCACGGCTACGCCAGGTCCCGCCGCCGGAGCACCTCGAAGTTAATTAAAGCGGTAATGTCCACTTCCCCGACGACCCTCCGTGCGTGGGTTTACTATTTCACGATCAAACCCGACCCCGGCGGGGGTGGGGGCCCTGTCCCCACGCCTCTCCTTCCCTCTTCTGGCCGTCCCCCTCTTTTTCCTCTCTCCGTCTCTCCCCTCTTTTTCCTCTCTTTCGTCTCTTTAAGTCGCCTGCCTTCCACTCAGTGAACAATGAACAAAGATGTGAGTGATGGGAAAAGATCGCCCCCCTTCCCAACCCCAGCAGTGAGCAAAGCCGGTCTTAAAGTAAAAATCCAGTTGCTAATATCAAACTGGGAAAGAAAACAGCGCGTTCCCAGTATCACCACCCCCTCCACACACACACACACACACACGGACGCACGCGCACACACACACACACGCACACCCCAAGTTCACCTAAGCCCTGGCTGGAGCCTGGGGCGCCAAGGTCAGGGCGCGTGGGGGCTGCTCAACTCGCCGGGGACACCAGGGTTGGGGGACTGCGCGCACTCGGGCCAGGCCTGCTTCCCGCGCCCTTCCCCGCCGGTTCCCCCGCCGGCCCCCTCCCCGCCCTACACCGGCCAGCCGGGCCCGGCGGCCCGCTCCTGAAGCCGGGCGGCCTGATGCGCTCAGCAAACGCGGCCCCTGTCGGATTTCTGCTAAATTGCACGGCGGCGGCGGCGGCATCGGCTGCCTGGAGAAGGCGCAGGAGGAACCGGAGGCCGGCACCGCGCGCTCGCTCACCCCGCCCCGCCCGCTCGCCCAGGCCCCGCCGGCCGCCGGCTCCCACCCGCGCACACACCCCGTGCCCCAGGACGCACCCGGTGCCCGAGCCCGGCAGGCCAGGACACCGCACAGCTGCCGTATTTTCTGCTAAAGTGAAAACGAAGACAGCTGACAAATCACGTCTCCGGCGAGGCACCCGTTAGACATAACAATATCCGGCAAACAAAACCCGGCCGCCGCTGCCACCCGTGCGCAGGGTTGGGACCCCGCCCCGCTCTTTCTCGGCCCTCAGCCCCTGGTCACTGCCCCCTAGACCCCAAAGCTCCCGCCCCCCAATATTCCAATCCGCCACCTAACTCGGGGACGGTGGATCTGTTCTCCAACAGGCAGACAGTAGGAACCACTCACAATACAGAAGTGAAAAGGAAGGGGGGGGGGATTAACTTTCCACCTGTCCCCAAAGAAAGCCCTGCCGGAGTTTCCTCCGCACAGTGAAGGGTGACCAACACAGGTCTCTTTCTGCCCCAGCCCGTTTTCTTTCTTTTTCCCTAACTTCCCTGCGTTTCCACCTTCCTTCACTTCGCATACATCCGTCTATATGGAGATATCTATATTTTAAATTATTTGCAAAACTGCAACAGATGGGCGCGTCGAGATCTGGACACTTTCCTACTCATCAAAGGAAAGTCCCCCCCCCCCCTTTTTTGCCTAAAATACATCCAGAGTCCCGCCTACGACTGTTTTCCTCAATTCATCTTCGAAAAATAATGTCTTGAAGCAAACAGAAAGGTTTATCAGCAAAGATCATTCCTACCCCAGTCATCCATCTGCGCTGGGGGGGGGGCGGAAGGCGTCCCCCCAGATTGCACTCTTCCCAGACGCCCCCCAAGCCCTTCCTCTCCTCTGCCTTCCAGAGCCCCCCACGCCCGCACTTCCTCGCTCTGATTGGCCTCATTCTCCAGCCTGGGACTGGCCGGCTCGGTTCCCTTCATAACCTGTTACTTATTTATTTATTTATTTTCCCCTTTGGCCCCTAGCTGGGCCCTGGCTGGGGCAGGTGCTGCGGACGGCGCCTGAGCTTGCAAGCGCCACGGCCTTTCCTGAGGTCGTGGGTTTGGACCCTGGCACCTCAGCCCTGAAACCGACTCACCGGCCTCGGCCTCGCCAGGCTCCCGGGGCACAGGAGGCCGATGCAATCACAAAATGGCAGGTCACAGCGGCTCTAGGCGCCCGCAAGTTTGACACATTGTAAGCATCAGCTAACTTTGATTAAAAAAAAAAAAAAAAAAAAAGCTTGCAAATTACCCTCTCTCCACAGGCGGAGGGCCGGACCCCCGCAGCGAGCGGGGACGGGAGAATGAGCGCAGGGTGAGCCCCAGTCCCAGGCAGAGGAGAAAATGGGGAAAGTCACTTGAGCAGAAGTTTCCGCGGCCCCAGCCTCCTCCTCCTCCCCTTCCTACTCCCCCTACCCCCCAGGCCCTCTTGAAAGTTTCCGGGGGCCGGAGAGCAGCTTGCGGGCCGCGCGCGGATTGGGGGCGCCGGCCGGGGCCCCGGAGCTGTGTGCAGGGTCCTAATCGCGTGCCGGGCGCCAGGCCCCAGGCCTCCTTTTCAAAGTAACGGTCCCGGGACCGCGGGCGGGGAAGCGGCGGCCCAGCCGCGGGTCCCGCTCGCCGCCGAAGTTCTCAAGCGCCTTACGATGCCCGGCCGCCACCGCTGGCTCGGTTTTCCTCCTCTTTCCCCCCCTCCCCCCCGCCGCTGACAGCTTCTCTCGCCAACGTCACAGCCACGGATATTTAATTAGACCGTATTTTTTAATCGCGATGGGGCGAGAAGGAACCGGGCGGCAGGCCTTGCCGAGATGGGAGGGGGAGGGGACTGGGGGGTCGCGCCAAGAGTCCAAACTCACTTTGCCACCTCCCGGACGCCGGAGCTGCCCCCCCACCCGCCGCCGCCCCCCCGCGCCGCGCCCCCAGCACCGCGCCGCGCCCCGCGATTCCCCCCCTACCTTTGTTTTCCTTACCTTAAACATTGAAACGCGGGCGTCGGGAGCAAACTCGGGCACGTAAACGGCGCGTTGTAAAAGATTGTGTTCAATGAATAATGAAACATGCCCACACGATTGACTTGATCATTTTCCGGGGCTGAGGGGGGACGGGCGCCCTGCTCGCGCGCCTAGCTCGCCCACTCGGCAGAGCCCTGCGAACTGTTCCCAGCCCAGCCGGGGCAGGGCGGGCTCGATTTTCATCAGCCTCTTTTCAGAATCGCCCCGTTCATTGATACTCATCACCCAGCCCCAGCAGACATCCCCATCCCCGGCTCGGCCTCCCCCTATCTGGTAGGTGAAATGCATTGTACCATTAAAAACGCTCTCCATTGTCGCCCTGGCATAATTCACAGCAACTAGATAGGTCTTGCGGCATTTAGCTTTGATGAGCCAGAGACTGAACCCTTGATATAATAATCTACAAAGAATGGTGTGTGATCGTCCATTTTTTCTCTCTGTCTAGCAACTAAGAAACCATTTAACACAGCGCAGCTTGGTTCTGACCTTGAGCTCATGTAAACACACTTATTAAAATCTATCTATTCTCCAAGAGCTACATTCTGATTGTCAGACTCGTTACTGAGACATATATCAGCCCCTTCCTTGTCACTACTTTGCATTCCTGCCTTTGACTAAAGAATTTTTTATCCAGCCGAGAGGGAGAGAGAGACTGCCACCGAGGGAGAGGAGAGAGAGAGACGGAGAAGGGGCGAGGAAGAAAGCGTAATTCTTACCTGCTCCCGAAACTATTTAAAGTCTGTTTCTTTTCTGGGAGGGGAAGAAAAAAAAAAAAAAAAAAAAAAACTCCCGGGTGAATCTCGGTGGACAGCGGGACGAGAAGAATCAGTCACAGCCCGGGCGTTTAAGGGAGTCATCAGCGATCAAATGACGTTGATCCGCGCTGTAACCTTGTGGCGTATTTAATGTAAATAAGGCAGTTATGTTGCCAATCTCTGCGATGCAAACGCCGAGAGGTCCTCAGCCTCGCCTCCCGCGCCTGCCATTAGAGGCGACTTTATTTACAGACACTATTTAGGAGATCATGATAATTCTAAAACAATACTAGTGCCAAATGATTATGAAAATATGATTTTAATTAATCACGTAGTAAGCAAGGAAATTAGCATACGGTAATTAAACTTCGAGAAAAAACGTCACGCAGGTTCTCTGCCTTATGGGTCTAGAGTAATCATCACTCGATGGGCTCCAGGACTTAATTATCAAACAAAATAACTTTTTAAGGCAACTTTGCAAGGCGGTTCCTCCGGGCAAACGTTTTGGTAAATGGTACAAGCAGAGGTAACCAGGTGGGGGTTGTGAGTGGGCCGTGAGTTTGGGTTTCTGGGAAGCCAGGAGGGGGGAAGCAGGGGGAAAAAGCTGGATAATGCAATTATGGATTCTCTGTCCTAGAGTTGACAAAAGCTTGTGCCTCAAAAAGCCTCTTTGTTATGGGATTATATAATGATCCTGGTGTCATTATGGGAAAAAAAGATTCAGTAATAATAATAATAAAAGAAGTATCCAGATACACCAATGAGGGGCTTGTTTTAAAGAAAAGCCTTGCATGTGACACTGGCATGTTAATAGCAAAGAGACAGGATCCAAAAGAGTTGACAAAAAAAAAAAAAAGGACACAGGGAGGGAGAGAGAGAGAGAGAGAACCTGTGTTGCGCCTGATTAAGAAGTGATGGAGACATTGATTATTCAAAACGCCAAGCCACAGGGGCACTTAAAACATTGATTCAGGTAAGACCTACTCCAGCCTGCCCGAACTGAGCTCCCCCAAGATGACTGGCGAGTTTTAAACCAGGGCACCACAAGACATCAAAAGCAAGATGCAAAAAGGCATGCCACAGCCACCCCATCACGACCCCTCTCCAGCTGAAGGAGTCTTTCGGTGACAAGCAATCAGCCCAAGAGTTGGGGGAGGTACAGAAAAGCAGAAAAGTTTGCGCGGGGAGGAGCGCTGGATTAGCGTGCGGGCGTTGGGGACGGACGCGACGCAGCTGCCTCGGGCGCTGGGCCTGGGCCCTCGCCGCTGGTGGTCCGCTCCCCAGGCGCGCCATCGGTGGGCACCTGGCCCTGCCGCTGCTAGCATCCTCGGACCCTGCCTTGAGAACCCAGCACTCCTTGCTGCCTCTTTCTCTCTCTTCCACTCTCTGCCTCTCTTTTCTTCCCTTCTGTCTCTCTCTTTCCAGGAGTGCACTGGAGGAGTGAGGAAAGAATCAGTTTTCCCCAACTAGCTAGTTCCAGGAGATTAAGTCCGCTCAAATCTCTGCAGTGGTGTTTTTAAAAAATCCTCTGCCTACCCAAAAAGTTTAGGAATTCAGCCTACATTTTCCAATCTGATGTGTCTGAAATTCTCTTTGAACAAATACCAAAATACAAGGGTTTTTTTTTTTCCCCCTTCTATAGAAATTAGCATCGCAATCACAAGAATGATATCACTATCTCTATGGGAATGATAGCCGAAGCGGTGGGGTGTTCTTTATTCCAATTCTTCGTGGATCAACTGATTATACTCTGTCGTCTTTTGAACCTGTTATTGTAAGTCAAGTGATTCTTCATAGGTGACAGCGCAGACAAAGAGGCGAGCAGGGCTGAGCAGGTCGAAAGGAAGTGGCCATATGGACTTGGAGAAAAGGCACTTTCTCCCCTACAGAATGGGGGTCGCCTTTTAACCATCGAGCCGCTGGCCTCTCCTGGGCCTTGGGAGGCACAAGGCCGGGCGCACGTACTGGCGTAGTCCTGGGCTCCCGGGCTCTCCCTGGCCGGTCTGGGCCGGGCCGGGCCGGTGGCTTCCAGGCCCGGGGAGCCAGTTCCAGGCCTGGAGGCCCAAGGCTTCTGCGGCCTCGGAGCCCGTGCGTCTCGGGAGGGCCGCGCTCCCGGCGGCCCGGGATGTCTTGGCTGGGGTTCACTGCCGCGCGGGGGCTGCCGCGGCTTTGCGTGGCCGGGCGGGCGGGGACGCACCGGGCAGAGACCGCGCGCCCACGGGAGGCACAGCCCTGCTTGAGCCCCGCAGACGGCCGGGCATTGGGCTCTCCGGCTCCCCCTGTCGGCGCCAACGCGCTCTTCATACCTCCAGGACCTGCGCAAACTGAGTGGGGGTGGGGGGAGACCTCTCTGCGCGGCGCTTGTTGGGAGTGGGAGTCGGGATGGGAGGTGGAGGGGTGCCAGACAATGGACAGAGGCCTGTTGTCCTCTGGAGACCGAAACTTGACGCTCACCTGCGTCCCACTAACGCAGAAAAGTTCCTCATTGGCTCCCCACCCGCCAGACCCACCCCACCAGGGGTGTTTTGTGACCGCTTTTATAATTTGTGGCTCTCCTATGCTTTTTTCCGTGTCCAGGATTTCTCGGCGTCCCAATCTTCCTCTCTTGGCTCTGGCCTCTCGCTACTCTTCCTTTTCAAACTCTGGAGTATTTCTCACTGCCCCTGCCTCACCTGGCCAGGGCTGGAGCCCCTTAAGATGGTGAACTGGAATCATCAGGCTGGAAAATGAAAGAATGAATTAATATTATTGTCAAATAAAATTCATAAAATATATGCCAATCATATCAAAGTACACTAAGAAACAGTACAGCACAAAAGTGCTTATATTTGTGTACTTTCGAGTGCATATATTTTGAGTCTGCCATATTTGTGATCTTTTATTTTTCGACTTTGTTAGACATGATTAGAGGTACTCCTTACAGTTTTCACTTTGCAAACATGTATGCTTTGATTTAACCCATTACTACTATGACCACCCTCACTGATTGATCAAAAATTGGGGTAAATAATGATCTTGTTTCATTAGTGGCTCTTAAATGTATGTATAGCTCATAACTTATTTCAGTGTCTAGACACGTAGAAGTGTGGTGTTTTATGTCCAGAGGCGAGCTATAGGATGTTAACTGCTGCTTGTGTCTATCAACCTACGGTAAAACTGATTTCATTACACATCATTTGTTTAAAGTTAATTTCCAAGAATCCGTCAACAATATTAAGAGAGCACTTGCTGTATAGATAGATTTAAAAGCACCAGGGAAATTACTCGAGAGGGCTTCATAGGCTCTGAGGTAAAAGGGTGGCCCAGGATACTTGTGAATCCAGAGTACCCTAGAGGGCTGCATTGCCTCCCGGGTGAAAGGGTGGACCAGGAATCCACCCTTATGGATTCAAGGGTGAATCAAGAGGCCAAGTTCCCTCTCCTCTGGAACCTCAGTTTTTCCTACTATAAACACATAACCTCCTACCAGCTGTAATACCCCTTTGGTCATTCCCAGTCAGTGGTTTTAGCAAAATGATACCCCTACTTCCCATGTGATGACTCCGTTCTTCAAGCAGAAGAAAGACATTGCGTCCGCAAAGGGCCCATGTGTTAGGTGGGGAGTTGGTCTGCGTGTGTGCAGGGTCCCGCCTACTCCCCTGCTTTTCTATCTCAGGGGAGTAGGCGGCCGTCCTTTACTGGGAGGAGTGCTGCTGCCCCGCAAGCTCAAGAAAAGGTTGTATACCTCTTCCGGATTTTCAAACAGAGAGAAAAATCAGCATAGTGACACGACAGAACAGGTCCAGTCCTCCAGCAACAGCCTCCCTTTGCTTCCCGCCCCATCTTTGCTCCCGCCCCAGATCCCAGCCAATCAGTGCATCACATCTCTCTGGACACTGTGATTGGTTCAGGAATAGGCACGTGGCCTAAGCCGGCGCAATCAGAGTGAATCTTGGCCTTTTTCTCTTTCTTTTCCTCTAGGGGCTAGTGGCGAGGTTAAACTGCTGGAAAGCGGTCGCTTCCATCCCAGCACCAAAAGAACAGAGCCCAGAGCTTGCAGGGGCCACCAAGAGGAGCCAGAAAAGTGTGCCAACACAGTCTGCAGGATGGAGATGGAGAAATCGTGCTGCTTGTCTTGTATGAGCCCTGAATCCAGCCACATCTGAAGCCAGCTCCACCCTGGCGCCTTTCTGTTTTGTAAGTAAACTCCCTTTAACTTAATTCAGTTTGCTTTGGGTTTCCTGCCATTTGCCACAGAATGAGATCTGATAATAGTTAACACCTGACAAGAACAAAGAACACCTGGGCCAGGGACCAGCGCGCTCAAAAACAAGGCTGGAACAAGGGGCAGGAAAGCAAAGCGTGGTCCCTGGTACTCTTTCCAGTGAATGAGCAAAGAACTTACCAGAATTCTCTTAAAGCTACAGGTGCACCTTGCTTTGCGTAATAGCTCTGTGCCAGAAGAGATGCTTGTAAACTAAATTTTCATAAATTGAACCTGATTGCACTGGAAGAGCTGGTTATTTCAAGTCATCTCAACAGACAACCTCTTTTGTAAAATGAAAATGGGCGTATTCTGAAATAACAAATTAATAGTAATTTATTTATAATTCTAATTTTCCTACTTCAGGCTTTGTTGTAAAGCAGGGCCAACGTGGATGTCTTCTTGGTGTCTTTTTATGAGTTAGTCAAAGGCCAAAAAGATGTGCTGAGTGGCCAGGCGTGGTGGCTCATGCCTGTAATCCCAGCACTTTGGGAAGCCGAGACGGGTGGCTCATGAGGTCAGGAGTTTGCGACCAGCCTGAACAACATGGTGAAACCTGTCTTTACTAAAAATACAAAAATTAGCTGAACATGGTGGTGCACACCTGTAATCCCAGCTACTCAAGAGGCTGAAACAGTAGAATTGCTTAAACCTGGGAGGTGGAGGTTGCAATGAACCGAGATCGTGCCACTGTGCTACAGCCTGGGCGACAGAGTGACACTCCATCTTAAAAAACAAACAAGAAAAAAAAAATGTGCTGAGCTCCATTGAGTATCATCACAACCTTACATGCCCACTCCCTTGCAAGGCTGAGGAATGGAAATGTCCTGAGTAGATCCTGGGCCATCAACTCCCGGCCCTGCAGTTGTCTGCAACAGCTATCATCAATTTTGAATTCGGTGTGGGGGAAATGCTATGAAGTTAGTGGACTTCCTGACCAGAATGTGGCCTGTGCCTTGTTTTCCTGAAGAGCAGAACTCAATTACAGGCCATAGTAAATTCTCAATTTGGGGGCTATTGAGACTACAAACTGAAACAAAATACCAAGTTATGAGATGAAATTGATGGTGGGGATTCCAGAGCCTGTGTTCTTAAGATGTTGATTTCTCTGGCACTCCCTTCCCATGCTGTAAATGTGTCCATCCTGCCGCACATGGCTGTGACCTGGCCCCTTGCTTTTCCAAAGTCCCCATTTTCAGCCCTGGTTTTACCTGGGGAAGAAGTGCAAATTTGGCTTGCCACTACAAATGAAAGGGAGCAAATATTTACAAAATATAGTGTTTCGGAAAAGGCTACAGCTAACCTTTGGCTCACATGTGATGTGGTCTGTATGAATTGAGCAGAATCACCAGTAACAATCCCCAGGGCTCGCCCGAGTACTTACAGAGTTGTATCGCCTTCCAGGAAGCATTTCTGTACCAGGTAGCAACTGGAAAACACATGAGAATGAAAAAGTAAGGCAGAAAGCAAGTCCCTGATCCTGGCCAGTGCCCGAGAGCCCTGGGTAACAGCCCACTTCCATGGAGAGCTGGCCTTGGGCCTGTACAGGGCACAGACTGGAGCTCAGGATGGGTGCTGGGCCAGGGGCCTGGGAAGGACCATCACTATACAGGCTTTGTTTTAAATCCACCAAAGGGCTTAGTTGAGTCTTGTGGATTTGGAGGAAAGAGAAAGAGAAGACTCAGAGCAAAGAGACGTGTACTAAAGGTCAAATCCATGTTGTTGGTGCTAGGCTCCAAGAAGGTAAAATGCAGTTAGATGGTGCATTATAGGGGAAATGGGATGGGTGGCTCCAAGGGCTAAGCTTGTGTCCCTGGAGAGTCTCTCGCAGGCTGAATCTGCACTTGCGCCCAAGGTTCTTGAGTGTTCCAGATCCCATGGGCACTACAGAATCCCCTAGGGGGTCCTGGCAACCTGTGCTTGGGATGGTCAGCTAGCAGAATGAAGACTTGGGGTCTGGTCCCTAAGAGTATAGGAGGGTAAGTATGAAACTGCACTCTTGACCAAGGACATATGTTTTCATTTGGGTGTGTGTTTGAGAAGTGATTGGATCCATGCCAGCTTATCCAGTCCTGATCTGTGGGTCCTGATCTGTGGACCTACCTTATCTGCAGCTGCTCTTTCAGGGATGCCATCTAAGACTTTGCTTATGAAGCTTCCGCTCTACCCAAGGCTGGAAACTTCTCACAGGGCAGACCCCAAGCATGGTTCATCATCAGACCCAAGATCTAGCGCAGTCCCGGGCACCATACAGATCAGTAGGAAATGTTGATGGAACTGATCAAGAAACTAATTACAAAGTAGGAGGATCGCTTGAGGCCAGAAGTTTGAGACCAGCCTGGGCATCATAGCGAGACCCTGTCTCTATAAAAAGTAAAAATACTAATAATTAGTTGGGTCTGGTGGCACTCGCCCATAGTCCCAGCTACTCAGGAGGCTGAGGTAGGAGGATGGTTTGAGCCCAGGAGTTTGAGGCTGCAGTGAGCTGTCATTGCACCACTGCCCTACAGCTTGGATTGCACAGTAAAAGACTTGTCTCTAAAAAAAGAAAAAAGAAAGAAATTAATCATATCTAACACATAATTCATACTATACCCAGGCACTGATTTTTGGTTTTTGTGGGATTTTTTTTTTTTTTCTTTTTTTGAGACAGAGTCTCACTCCAGCCACTCTGAGGCTGGAGTGCAGTGGTACAATCTCAGTTCACTGCAGCCTGCTGGGCACTGTTTTAAGCATTTTACCTGTATTGACCACTTGAGTGAATGAATGAATGAATGCATTCACACATACATCTTTGAACAGCATTGCTTAAAATGTGTTGCCACCACTAGAAATTAGTTGCAACCTTATAAAATTAATGGTTATTTTCTCTGATGTAAAGTAATCTTGATGCACGTTGAAGAATAATTAGAAAACACAGAAACGTAAAGATTGTTTATATCTTTCTTAATCTCCCCCTATAGCTTTTCGTGTCTTTCCTTCCAAGCATGTTTCTGTGCATATCAATTTTTTTTGCAAACTTTGAATCATTCTGTATAAATAATTTTGTGTCCCTCTTTTGTTCTCTAGCCTTGTAGCATAAGGTATTTCCCCATGTCATTAAATATTCTTTGAAAACATGATTTTATGCCTACATAATGTTCCATCAGTTGGATGCAGCATAATTTATTTAAACAACCTCTTGTTTTGGAGCATCTAAATTGTTTCTATTTTGTTGTTGTTCTCTTAAAAGTATTGGAGAGAGCATTTTTGTGGTTATAGCTTTGTTTGCATCTCTGCTGGTCTTCGAATCCATTGACAGAGGTGAAGCTGGATCAGTGGGTATGAAGATTTGGGGGCTCCTCCTAGACATTGCCAACTTTCTTTCCAAAAAGGCTGCCCCCAACTTGTTCTTCCTGACTTGTGTCTCTTTCGGTATCTCCTCCTGCCTTTTGCTCATTTATGCACAGGAGGCTTTAGGGCTTACCTTACAGACTCATAAAAGGATAATAACCCTTAGGCAGTCACTATTGCTCCAAGCAAGTTGGCCGTCTAATTCTGATGGCGGCACCATTTTCAGCAGGTTCCTGTTGTCCCTGCCTTACCCTTCAGCTCTAGGGAACCCCAGGGATGTCTCTCAGTGCCCAGTGAACCTTGCTGGCTTCAAATTAAACAATGTATCTCTTTGCTGTAGCTCCACATGGGCTGTGTATCCAGAGGAAGTATGTGTCCAGCCAGTATCTTCTGATATGGTCATCCTAGAGGTCCACCTCCCCTGCCTGCTGCCCACTCAGAAGCTCTGCTCCTAGATCTCTCCCTCCCCCTTGCCCCTTGCTAACTCCTCGAGTTACTTTTGCCAATGGTGGTGATTTTTCTATTGCTCTAAAAGAGAAGAGGAGAATACCATAAAGCAGAAGAGCACAGGTTCTGAGGCCAGGCTGGGTTCAAATCCCAGCTCCAACATTTTAGAGCTGTGTGACCTTAGGCAAGTTACTTAACCTCTCTGTGCCTTAACCTCCACATCGGAAAAATGGGCATGTTTAGAGAACTCAGTGGATTCGCACTTAGCACAGCACCTGGTACACAGTAGGCCTTTACTATTCCTATCCATGATGTGTACATGTTTTATATGGATTTTTTTTTTTAATTAGAATGACAGTCGTTTTTATAACATCCGGTGCTATCTAGCTTCACACTTCAGGGCTGTACAGACATTTGTGTGGTCTGTTTCCAGCATACCTGGCAAGCCCTGGGGGCTCCGCTCCACACTTGGCTGACGGGAATGTCCATCAGCCTCTTCCCTGGGCCCCTAGTGAGCAGTTCTTTCTGCCTATGACATTCACTCAATGTAAATACAAAAGCCCATCACAGCATCCAGAGCACTTCCTCTTAGTAAATCGTTTAGAATGTCAGATCTGGGTGTGCAGGTTCTGAATGGCCTCACTGCAAACTCTGAGCTCAGTGGCTTACCCGTCACCTAGCGTTGTCACCAACGGCTTTGGCATTCGCCATCGGCGGCCTGAGTCGGGAACTCACAGCACGGGGGATGCGCTTTCCCTGTCGCAGTAGGCATTTGCAGGTCACGCACTTTCAAAAAGGGAACTTGATTTGGGGACTGCATCGCATCTGGGCTCCCTCTTGCCTCTTTGCCTGTCTTCTCTAATCTCTGTGGAATGCCTGTTGGGCCACGGACAGATATTTTATGAATTACTTATTCATCTTTTCACAAGTACAGCAGGGAAGTCGGCCTTCCTGATCCTGACTGGTCTAAACACAGTTGCTAATGTAAGAAAAAGTCCGGTTTTCCAGCAGCACCAATCTGTTCAATTACTAGAGGAGTTAGAAGTTAACCCAACTTTAGGAGGCCAAGGCAGGCAGATCACTTGAGGTCAGGAGTTTGAGACCAGCCAGGCCAACATAGTGAAACTCCATCTCTACTAAAAATATAAAAACT